CCCATTCAGTGAAGGCCCCCTTCTTCCTGAATAAGCTTCAACGTATAGTCTTCAGTGGTTTTCTTGGAAAATTCTCATGGTTGTTTCAGACTTACAACACTGATTTCCCCCAGAAGTGTTCTCTGTATTCTTACAGTTGAGAAGCCTATAGGGTGTGCCTGGCTCCTGAGTGCATACTTCACTGATAAGTGAACACATGAGTAATCAGTACCTTTATGCAACATGCAGTTTATTTCCTTCCTTTTATTTATAACAGCCTCTAGCTGGAGGATTGGGTGGCAGCAGATTCTTCTTCCTACTCTGAATAATAGGAGGCAAATCATTTTACCTCTTGGGTTCTTTAGGGCATGCTGGGGAGCTGAGAGACAACTAGGTGTGGGAGGTGATGTTTGATAAAGACCGAGGTATGTCAAGGTGTGGGTGGTGATGATTGCCATGAGCTGGCATTGGATGCTAGCCCTGAGCCTGTGGTCATCACTCCAGCTGGGGACAGCCGGGCTTATGCCGATGCTATGGTTCTGCAGATGCTGTTGACAGTGTTTTGAAGGATTGCTTTGGCCAGAGACCCAATCCCCAGCCCGCCTCCTCTATGACTCATTCTAGCTGCATATATTGGTAGCAGGAGGGCTAGAGATGAGATGAAATGAAAGAGGCACCTCTTAAGAGTGGGAGTCCCTAGGTACTGGGTCTGTACTTGAAAGGTGTAGGGGATATTTGCATAACATTAATCACTGTAAAGAAAACACTTTAGTGGCATTTAGTACATGTATCTATTACGCAACCACTGGCTCTGTTTAGTTCCAAAATATTTTCATCACTCTCAAAGAAAACCCCTTATAGTTACTCCCTCCTCTTACCTTTCCCTTGGCAACCACTAATCTACTTTCTGTCTCTGTGGATTTACCTCTCCTGGATAATTCATATAAATGGAATCATGCACTATGTGACCTTTTGTGTTTGGCTTCTTGCACTTAGCGTATTGTTTGCGAGATTCATCCATGCTGAAGCATGTTTCAGTACAACGTAAAGTCTTAACAGCCACACCAAATCCGCAAGGATAGATCCTTCCCCATCCCCCCCTGATTTAGTCATAGGTCCACCCTAAGCTCCATTTAGAGGCTTGCTGAATCAGTAGGGCTGGGTAGGGTCTCAAGTGCTTCTGATCCTAGACCAGTGACCCCAGGCATTATCCTAACCACCTGCCTGTGAACCTAGCTGAGGCTTGAAGCACCTCCCAGGCCCTGCCTGTAGTTCCTGATGCAGTTGCTGATCAGAGAGGTGTTTACCTTCTGGGAGAGACACTGGACCCCTCCCTGCTGCCTTTACAGCTCCAATTAATTATGTGTTATTTATCAAGCTCCATCTTGTGAGCCAGAGATAGAGAGAGAAGGTTGTTCATGCCCTGGGGTTGTGATTATAACAGACTTCACATCAAGGTTATGTTCCTAGAAAAGCCACACTTCCACCTCCTCCCATCTCCTCCCAGGCCCGTGTCTTCTGGATCCGCTGTGGGACCAGAGTGGGAGAGGATGATTTGAGAGATTGAGAGTCCTGCAGCTGCTCAGAGGGCTGGTGATGAGGGAGACTGGAGGAAGAGATGCCTAGAAGGGAAACGGACCCAAACAAACAGGAAACCACCTCTTTAAGTAAAGGATCTAGCCAGGTACCTGTGGGTTGTTCTTCATTACAGGAGCTGCTCTAGGCTGCTGGTTTCTTGGTCGCTTGAGATTGTGGAGGTTGGGATAGAGAGGAGGAAGGTGAAGCCAGAGAGTAGACTGTATGTCTTGGCTTTAATAAAAATGATGACCTGCTAGCCTTTTGTCATCCTCTGGGTGCACTGATTCCTGCAACTGATTCTGGTCATGTGCTGTGGGGGATGGGCACCTGGGCTGCCATGGGGATCAGCCTGACTCACTAGGGAGTTATTCTCATGACCAGGATGTGCCTGACTTCTCGCCAAGGCAAGGAGCGGAACAGTTTGTGTGAGTGCCTGGTGGCCCTCGGACAAGTTGTTTCTTGCCAAGGATATTTTTCTTTCCCTCCACTGGGCTGCCTTTTTTCAGTCTGCTCTTAGAAAAAAAAGCAGACATCTAATGGAAAAGCCTTGTTTTTTTCTAAATAGGTGTTTCGCCAAGCTTGCTTTCTGCAGGCTTTCTTTATTTAAAAAAAAGCCTTTGGATGTTTTGATGCTTGTCTTTGTACGCATTTCATCTCTCTCCCCTTGGAATGATTAAGGGAAGTCTCATAATCTCATCTCTTCTGTGTAGAAAGACTTCAGCAAGTTGTTTTCAGACCTCTTCCCCACTCTGATCCCTGAAAGCTTTGTAGCCTTTTCAAAGCACCATCTGATTGTTACCTGCCAGAGGGGGTGCTTTGACCATGCCTTTGAGGATGCCCAGGTTGGACATTAGTGGACTTTTTCATCCCAGACCCCAGTGAACTTGCGTGGCTCTTGCAGGTTCTTAATCTTTTATTGTACTGACATTTGCATAGCTCTCTATTTATTCCTGTTTAGTTCCAAGGGTGAGGATGGTTTGGTAGGGGAGAAGACTTTAACCTCAATTCCCAGGGTGTCTATGCTAGTGGATTTCCCAGGCACAAATGCTTCCAGATTTTTCCCAGAAGCCTGGGCTGGAAGGAGAATGGAGAAAGGGAAGGTTAGAGGAAGGCTTCAGTGGCCCAGGAAGATTCCCTTAGCTTCTTTCTGCCAGTAGTATCCTGGGTTAGATAATTTATATTTTTTATTTGCACTTCTCTGTTGATGCTTGCCTGGACTTATCTATCAGGAATGAGAAATGATTTTTTGGAATGCCCTGTTTTCCTAAAAAATATCAAGGGTCCTTTTCTTTAAAAAGGTCTTATTTCAAATGCTTTTGAAAAGAGTTTGGAGCCTGGATCAAATTAGATGCAGGTGCTTAAAGCCCAAAGCAGAGTCGTTATGGATCAGCTCCTTGGTTGATCTGGCTGCCAAATTTGTGGTCCAGGTGTTTATCCTCCTGTGACGTCTAAGAGCCCCTGAAGGAGTAGGTGGGGAAAGTTAGGGAGTGGTGAGTGAGGAAAGGAAGGAAGGATAGAGAAAGGAGGTATGAGGGGAGAGTTTTCTGCTGCAGAGCTGTGCTAACAGGACAGCTCTAAGGGCAGGTGAGCCCCGAACTTCATGAGTTCAAGAATTGGTGGTGGAGTAGATGGGGTATGCTGTTGAGGCTGGACCCTCAGGGCGCATCTCTGAGTCCCCAAAGCTCAATTTTCTGTCCAGTGTGCCCACGATAACTGAAGTGGCTGGTGGAATAGGCTTATCTCAGACATTACTCAATAAGAGATGGCACATGCTCCTGACTTGGGGACTTTGTCCAGCTTGTGCACATTGTGCTAACTACCAGAAGGTTTGTTAATATCTTCATACAGTTGTTTTCCATACCGGACAGGTAAATAACTCAGCTGTCCTGAAGTGTCGGTCCCTGAATGCCATCAGTGTACAGTGAAATAAGAGCATGTGCTTAAGCTGGCACAGCCAACGGATGGAATGTTGAAATAAGGAAAACAAAAGTACTGTAGTTATTTTTCCATAGGGCAGAAAAGTCATCTAAAAGAACCTTATTCTGAGATTATATCCTTTCTCGGTTTTAACAAATGAATCCCAAACCTCAGTGGTGTAACTAGATCGCCTGAATCTGAGAAGTTCAAGGTGTGACTGATTGGAGGATCACTTTCTCAGAGACACGGGCTCCTTCTGTCCTTGCTCTGGCTTTGCTGTTTTCTAGGGCAGTGGTGGTGAGCCTATGGCACGCATTCTGTAGCAGGCTGTTTGTATCACTGAACGCTCCAAAAGGTTCACCGTCACTGATCTAAGGCTTTGGGGGTCCTTTGATTGCAGCCTATGTCCAGACAGGGAAAGAAAACGGGACTGTGTGTGGGCCCGGGCTGTGGTAGCCCTGACCACCCTTGATCCCAGGGCCTCATCTTGCAGCCACGGAGCCTGGTGAGTCCATGGTGTCCTCGTGAAGTGGAGGAAGAAAACTGAGAAAACAGCTAGTTAACTCCGATACCATGACTGATTTTGTTCAAGTCGATACCTGGTAAACCAGAAATAAGTATCCAATCCTCTGTTGACATTCCTCATCTATTTTTATTTTACTGGTTCACCAAAAGTCTGGGAACTACTGTTCAAGCAATAACCCAAAGGCTATTTCGTTGACTTCTGAAAAATATTTAAGATAATTTTTATTAATACTTAATTCTATAGTTATGGGGTGCAGTGTGGTATTTCAATAGATGTATACAGCATGTAACGATCAGGTAACTGGGATTTCCAGGTAATTGGCCTCTTCATTACCTTACATATCATTTTTTTGTGTTGAGAACATTCAAAATCTTCTCCTCTAGCTATTTTGACATATGCAGTTACTATTTATCAATCACAGTTATTCCACTTTGCTGTAGAACATTAGAAATCATTACCTCTGTCCAGCTCTTTCTTTATGTTTTTCTTTGCACCCAGGGCTTTGTGCCCGTGGCTTGGCACCACTGTTCACACTGTCCAGATGCTCTTGTGCACCTGTAATCATCTTCTATCACTCTTCCCTGCCCTTCCTGATTGCTGGGGAAGTTTTTCTTTTTGAATAAGAGAGACGTTTCCGTGTTTTGGTGTAGGCTCTTACAAGTGTATGTCGTACACATGGAGTAAGGATCAGAGTAAGAAAATTGATGTTCTGAAGGATGAAAATAAAGCAAAAGAATAGGTTATGCCAATGAAATCCTAAGATTTTCTGCGGCCTAACTACACACAAAGTATAGCTGAATGTCACAAGGGGACCAGTGTTTCTTCTTGAGAAGCTGAGACTGATAGAGTATCCACAGTGGGAGGAATAGGCCATTCTGGCCCAATGTTTCACATCTCAGAATCTTGTCATTTCTGAGTGACAGAGGAGGGGAGATCTTAATTTTAATGTGTATGGCTGTCACCCTTCATGGCTCCTGATTCCTGTGTTTGTCTCTTTCAGGTCAGTCTGAATGACTCCCACAATCAGATGGTGGTGCACTGGGCTGGAGAGAAAAGCAACGTCATTGTGGCCTTGGCCCGGGACAGCCTGGCGTTGGCGAGGCCCAAGAGCAGTGATGTAAGTATTTGTGTTGCTCTGGGAACTCCTTGGTGCCCTCAGCATGCCCTTTCTGATCCTCTGAGATTATCATGCCAGGAAAAATAGTGGGTAATTACAGGATGGATGGGATGAATTATATGACAGGGAAGAGAGTTAGGGAAATAATAATTCCTTGTTTCCTGAACATAGAGGGGTGCAGTCTGTGTTTCAAGCAGATGTGTGCAACGTGAGATTGTTTTTATGAAGTTCTAGGTCATCTGGATTGTATCTGCTGAACAATTTGCTTACCCACCCAAGTGGTTTTTTCTGTGTGCCCATGTATTCTAACCCATGACAGTGGGATGAACTGTTGAAATGGATGCTTTCATTTTCTTAATTTCCACCATTGGCCACTATGTTTCATACATTGAATTCTTTAAAGACAGGAGACCAAGGAATACAAACTCACTTTATCTCAACCAACAGACTGAGAAGAAGGAAGAGTTACAAACTCAAAGACCTGTAAGAGGGCAGGTAAAGGAGGGGAAGGAAGCCAGCTCTAAGTTCACAACACTCTTTATATCCACAAAGAGAAAAGTGTTGTCCTATTTTGCTTCCAATCTGTGACCTGCTTGGGTAATAGGCCATCTCCCCAGTTTCGATAGAGATCCAGGGTCAAGAAACATTCCCCTGTGTCTTCATTTGAAGGTGGCAATTGGTACTTCATCTCTGTGAGGGAGAGGTATTAGGAAGAAGTAAGGGGCAGTTGCTCACCAGGTCTAGGCTCTGACTGCATCTAGGATGCCGAATCTAGTGTTGCCAGGTCTGATTTTTGCAAGAGAAGCCCAGAGGTCTTCTCTGTGGAACTGCTGAGTCTTCCAAGTTGGCAGCTAATGTATAATTTTACAAACACTGTCTGTGCCAAGCAAATATAAGAAAGGGTCAGAGATGGCACTTGGGTCCCAAGTCTGTAGGCCTGTGTTCCTGACTTCTACTTGTGGGCAGGGGGAACCTCTCCTCCTGTCCTGCCCCAGGTGGGGGTCTGCTATGGTGATAAGGGTGAGGCCCTGGACAGAATAACATACTGAGCATTTGTTACCCTGCGTTGTGGCCAGAGGAAACCTGGTGGATGTGCTAGCATTTTTCACAGCCTTCAGGATTCACTTGTAATTCTTTTTTTTTTTTGTTTTTTCTCCAGTACCGGGAACCCAACTCACGACCTTGCGCTTGGCAGGCAGGCGCTTTGCCGCTGAGCTAAATCCCCAGCCCCCACTTGTAATTCTTGAATGTAGATTTGGTTTCCATGATGTCCTTTTATATCTACTGTCTGGGCTGAATGTATTCAGAGGGAGGTGACCAGAGGGAGCCTTGAGCTGAGTCTGGTGAATTGAATTAGACAGGGAGGGCCAAAGAATGACTGGCTGTAATGATAGGTAGCTTTGCCCTGGGTGGGTTTAGAGCCGTGGTATGTGGGGAACCACAGCAACTGACAGTTCGTCTGGGTATAGTGCTCTGGAGCAGGGCTAGAGTAGTTTAGAGCAATGACTGGCCAGTTTCCAAATGTGATCAGAGTTTACAAGCAGCACCTGTTGTCACAGGCAGCCACGTATGAAAGCTTCCTGGTCCCATGGTACTCTGTAGGCACCTGTGCTTGTGCTCAGAACAGCACTGTTTCTATGCATCCCTATTGGGCACAGGAGCCGGCCTTGGGCTATACCATGTTGATAAATCCTCTGTAGGGTTTTTATGCTTTAAAAAAATTCTTTGATCAGAAAATGAATAAATGAATGTATAAATATTTGCAAGTTAGGTAAGACAGCTTAATACTTATTTCAACGTTTTGCTGGACAGATAGTCACTTAGAGGCGTAAAAAGATTCACATGGAGTTACTCAGCATGTCCGTGGGTAAGTTTGGGGTGATGAGAGTAAGACTTTGTCATGTGTTCAGTGTATGAGACTGTCATATCACTAAATGACCCATTTGTCTGGGCTCAGCAGTGAGAGCCCCATGCCCTAGAACCCCCTGTCCCTCCAGTCCTGGGTGAACGAGAGGGGCTGGTGATTGTAAGTGTTGCTGATCTATCCAACTTCACTCTTACCTTACTCTGTCTAAATATTAGGGTATGTAATACTAAGAACCCATTGAACATATGAAGTGATTAATTATTTTGGAATGAAATATAAGGTTAAATGGAAAGGAGATGTAATGCCCAGAGTTAATAAATAGGGATGGCAGAAATTTCCTCCATCTATATACAAACTACATTAGAGAATTGGCAGATGAGACCAAGATGTTCTGAAGTTAATGCAAAAATAAACTGTGACTCAGAGGCGGAGTTGGTGGTGTTGGAGCAGCAACAGTCCAACTTTTGTTTTAAAGAAGACTGCAAGGGGGGCTGGGGATTTAGCTCAGCGGCAAAGCGCCTGCCTGGCAAGCGCAAGGTCATGAGTTCGGTTCCTGGTACCAGAGAAAAACCAAAAAAAAAAAAAAAAAAAAAAAAAAAGAAGACTGCAAGGTTGGTTCATAAGGCCCCATTAGAAGTCTAAAGGGAAAAAACTTATACAAATAAGGATCCGTGTGAACTGGGGGAAATGGCCAACATCATGCATGTTTAGTATATTAAAAAGGATGGGTCTAGAACCTGGAATCCCAGCTAATTTGCTCTTAACAGGAAGAAAAGTAATTATTACCTAATGAACTTATGCCAGTGTGATTTTATAAGAAACACTGATCTTTCTCTATGATAAGTTGATGAAATGGAACAATAGATATAGTTTATTTTGACATTTCCTATTTCTGCTTCCTTTTTTTTTTTTCCGGTATGGGGAATCAAACTCATGACCTCCCACTTGCCAGGCAGGTGCTGTGCCGTTGAGCTGAATCCCCAGTGCCCCCCCTTTTTTTCTATTTCTGCTTTCTTGTGTTGTATTTTCTAAAGTTCTTAGTTGCAGTATAATTAGCCAAAGAACTACTTAGAGATACTATCCATCAGAAGACCAGGATTTCCGGGTGTGGTGGCATACACCTGTAATCCCTGGAGAGGCTGAGGCCAGAGGATTGTAAGGCCAGCCTGCCCTACGAAATGAGTTCAAGGCCAGCTGGAACTACATATAGCAAGACCCTGTCTCAACAAAACAAAATAAAACAAAACAAAAAGATCAGACTAAGCTAGAAAGATGCATGAATGCTGAATGATAGAACTCACTGCCCTTGACCACCTAGACATACCACAGTAGTGCGATGTTATGATTTGTCCCCTCCAAATTTGAGTGGTTTGCAGGGCCAGTCCTTATTAATAGCACAGAACCTGGTAGCCCCTGAGAGGCTGCTGTCTGGCTGAGCATAGGCTTTGAAATCAGAACACCTGGGTTGGAATCCTGGCTGTGACATTCGTTAGTAATCTGCTCCTGGGCTAGTGTTTTTGTTTTTTTTTTTTAACCTTCCTATTGGTCTTTGTGCTAGTCAGCTTTGTGTTACTGTAGCAAAATACCTGTGATAATCATCATATCAAGAGGAAAGGTTTATTTTGGCTCCCAGTTTTGAAGGTTTCAGTCTATGATTGTTGTCACTATTGTTTTTAGGTCTCGGATAGGTGTACTTACTGGATAACAGTAGTGGGGAGTGAACGGTAGAACAAAACTACATCAGGAGCCAGGGGATAAAGACAGTGAGGAGGGGACCAGGGCCTCAGAATCCTCTCAAGGACATACCCACAATGATCTAAAGACCTCCCATGGGGACCTACCCCTTAAAATTCCACCACTTTCCAGTCACACCACCAAGCCTTTAACACATAGGCCTTTGGGGACTTTCAAGGTCCAAACTAGAGCAGTTTATCACTGACATAGTGCCTTGCTAGCCAAAGTGTGTTCTATGGACCACGTGAGGATTTTCTGGGAGCTGCTTAGAAATGCATACTCTCAGATCCCACCCAGACTTTTTGAATCAGAACCTGCACTTGGCCAGTGTCCTGCTGGGTGGTAATTTGTAAGCACATTAAAATTTGAGAAGCAGTGCTGTACAAGACTGGGAAAGGTGCCAGATGTGGAGATGTTTTCTATACATTTTAGTCCCCCATTATTATTATCTAGTTTTAAAGTACAAGGAAAAGAGTTTTAAGCTATGCACTTCAGAGGACTAACTTTGTACGAAAGAAAATGATGTAACTAGCAGCTATGGGTGGCTTAGTAACTCCTCCCATGTTAAATTTTATCCTACGGGGAACACAGTGTCGTATTGAGGTCAGAGAGGACTAATTAGCACAGAAAGCTGTATCTGGATGGAAACAAACTATGGAAGCCCCAAAAAAGGGAGTATGGGGTGTCAGCTCTAGTTTACCTGGAGATGACAGTGGACAGTAGTCAGCAGTGTCTTGCTGCTGTGGAGAAAGACATCTTGACCCAGAACTCACATTTGCAGGTGCAGTATGGAGTCCTTAAAGCCATTAGCCCACTGCAGTTTAATTCAGCACCATCAAGCCTTCTGTATGCTATCCTGTGTAGAGACAAGTAGATAACTGCACCATCCTTGAGCCTGGTATTTGCCCTTTGGTGCTTATGGTCTGTGTCTATCAAATAGAAATTAGAATTATGAGGGTAGGACAAAAATACCATGTTGGAATTGTTCAACCTAGAGAAGGCAAGGCAAGTTGGTGAGCAACTATGATTGCTTTTAGGTATAGGATGGACTCTTATGTATGTACTTCCCACTCACTTCCCCAGACTTGGGGATCAACCCAGGGGCACCCAACCACTGTGCTACATCCCCAGCCCTTTTTATTTTTATTTTTTTGTTTTTTTGGTTTTTTTTGGTTTTTCTCCGGTACTGGGAACCGAACTCACGACCTTGCGCTTGCCAGGCAGGCGCTTTTGCCACTGAGCTAAATCCCCAGCCCCCCTTTTTATTTTTGAGACAAAGATTTTGCTAAGTTGCCTAGGCTGGCCTCAACCTTGCAACTTTCCTGCCTCTGCCTGCAAAGTAGGTGGGCTTATAGGAGTGCTCCACCATGATCAGCATTTACCTCTTCTTAACCTCAAATAAGTATAAGACCCAAGCGATGGGCTTTGCTTGCTGGGGTGGGGAATAAGAAAGAGCTTCTTGATAGTAAGAATGGTTTCACCTCCAGCTGCACAGCAGGAACAGTAGCTGAGAATCCAGGAAAGGCTCTGTACTTTGCTGGAGTAGGTCTTTTCTTTCTTGCTGGCTGGCGCTTCTTCCAGTGCTGAGACTGTCATTTGGTGTAGAGTGTAATGAAAGTACCGAGAAGAGAACATTCTTCATGAATTCTCAGTCTGTGATTCACAGGCTGAAAAGATAACTGCATTGGAATTGTAAAAAAGTGACATAATTTTTTTAAACTACTAACAATAAGACCCTGGGCTAGTCATCCTCTTGTAACAGTCTTAGTCTTTGTTTTCCCTTAAATGGAAATCATGATAGTCAACCATCCATATCTGTGAGTTCTGCATTTATGATTCAGCCAACTGGAAATTGAAAATGATAGAAAAACAATTGCATCTGTACTGAACATGCATACACCTTCCTTGTATGATAACTATTTACATAGCAATTACATTGTCTTAGGTAGTATAAATACTCTAGAGATGATTAAGAATACACAAAAGATATGGGTAGGTGATATGCAAATACTGCTCTGTTTTAGATAAGGAACTTGACCATCTAGATTTCAGTATTCATGGGGTCCTGGGTCCAAGTCCCCTGTGGATACGGAAGGACAACTGTATTCTCTCACACACTGATTCATTCAGTTCACTTTTTTGTTTATTTATTTAACATTCGTTTAATTGCACTTTGGTTTATAAATCATCCTTTGCAGAAGTCTTTGGTGACCACTTGGTATGTTCCAGATGCCCTGAAGGTAAAACTAACTTGTGAGATTTTTAAAGAGGAAGAGAGATAAACGATAATACAAAGAGTATTGGATACTGGAAAATGCTACCCAGTGTGAACATATCACATTTGTGTCTCTCGAGAACTAAATGATAGTGGATTATCAAGTTATGAGATTTTGGAGCCGGGAAGGGCCTTAATTCTTTGTTTGAGAAGCCATTAGTTTGCTGGGCGTTTCTGAACCTACCTGGGACTTGGTGTTCATTTTCGGCCTGGGAAATTAAAGTGAGAAAGTCCCACTTTGTCTTTTGGCCCACCCAAATTATCTGTGAGCTCTCAACTGCTGAATTCCCAAAACTGCTTTTGTAGCAGCCCCTTATTTGTGTTGGTCATTGGGAACATAGGCCATGCGTTCCTAGTAGTTCCTTCCATGGTGACCCAGAAAAAGGCAGAGCCTCTCTGTCTTAGCTGCTTCTAACCTTGGCTTCTATTAAATGTTAATGACCCTCATGAGCTCTCAGGTCCCTGTGTACAGCCCTGCTGTGTTTTCACTGTTTACTCAGGGTGTGTAAGCAAACATCACATGTTTACACGCCCATCTGCCATGTCTTTCATTAGTCTTCATTAGTACTTCTGGTGCCCAACATAGTTCGTGGCCCTTGTGAAACCCTCAATGCGTGTTTGCTATGGAATCAAATGAGAAGGGCTGGCCATATACTTTTTGGGATTTGTACAGTAATAGACCTGAGCTCGTTTACTGGAGGAGGGTAGTACCATCTCTGCACATAGTAAGCACTCGGTGAATGACGGTTGTTCTTTGTTTTATCAGTGTGGTTACTACATTGCCAGAAACCAGGAAGCAGTGAGAAGCAAATTTTGTTAGCCTGGACATTAATCCTGCAGCCACTGTCATCTCCCATATATCAGAATCACAAAAAAACTAGTGCAAAAGGGATTCTGATACTGGTTATTTTTCTCAGTGCTGGGGATGGAACCCAGGGCCTTATGCATGCTAGACAAGTCCTCTACCATGAGCCACACCTCTGTGCATATTTAATCACTTAGGACTCTTTCATCTCATGGAGGCCCATGAAGGTTTTCTTTCTGTGAGCATGGGGTGTTCTAAAAAGTGAACTTCCCAGCAGAGGGATGGAGAACTAGATTGCCATTCTGTGTTCATTTCCATAGATGGTGAAACAGATTTCCAACCTTTTACCCTTCAGAGGCATTCTTTCTCCCTCTGGATATAATTTGTTAAATAGGTAACCTGGCCATAATGGGGATGTTACTGTTTATGTGTTTTCCTACGCTTCAGGGACTTTTTGCCTCAGAAAAGAGGCCAACACACTACAGGCAGAGGTGGTGGCAGCCCTTCTGTGCTTTCTGCCTCCCACAAGCTTGGGGACAGATACAGAGGTAGTCTGCTTTCCTTTTGTGGGCTGTCTGGTAACTTCAGTAATTCGCATTGTCAGGGACCCAGTGGGAACTATGTGCAGAGTGGGATGATCCAGAGTGGGATGCTGGGAAGAAGAACAGTGATCTTTCTGCCTGATGCCTCAGCCAACTGTTCTCCTCTTCGTCTCCCCCTCTGTATTCCAGGTGTACGTGTCTTATGACTATGGAAAATCATTCAGTAGAATTTCAGAGAAACTGAACTTTGGCATAGGAAATACCAGTGAAGCTGTGATTGCCCAGTTCTACCACAGTCCTGCGGACAACAAGCGGGTAAGGAAGCTGCTGATCCTACAGTTCGGACCTCACTGGACTGTATTTTGGGAAGACTGCTGCTCTGAATGGGTGCTGGGAGATGGAGCCCTTCGTGCATGGTCTTTGCAGCGTGACTGGTAGTCATCAATTGTGTTTCTGCTAACCTGGGAAACTGTGACAGTGCAGTTCTCAGGGTGGGTCTATGTAATCAGGCAGGCGAGTACTGGTCAGGCAGGATTTCCAGACAAACAAAAGTAGGTTAAACCACAGAAAATCTGCCAGCCAATAAATTGCCTAACTCACTCTTGGCAAAAATGTCTCCCAGCTACTCTGGGACTTGCATGGCAGTGTAATCCACAGTTTCCAAGAGCAGCTGCTGAACTCGTGGTGCACTGGCATCGCAGCATGTGTGTGTGTGCATGGATGTGTGCAGACACGAGTGTGTTTGTGCATTCCTCTTTCCCCTTCTCTGAACCTATATGAATACAGAAAAGAAAACCAGGGCAGCAGATACGGCTGTGCCTCCTGCTTTGTTTTCCCAGGTGGTATGCCTGGAGGCTTTGTTTCTTGGGTCAGAACCCCCAGGGAGTTGGACTCAAGGAGGCTTTGACACTGGGCTGCCAGGCAGATGGAGAGGGAGGGCAGGAACCCAGCAGCCTGCAAGGCTTTCCTGCTGGGCTGGTAGCTCTTAGCTCTGAGAGTTGTGTTTGATTGCTTTCTACCCCTCTTATATTGCCTAGCTTCTTTCTAGGGCTGAATGGCTTCTTCAAGGGAAGGACCCTTTGCAGAAACACTTGTTAGTAGTAGAAATTTTCTGACATAAAGGGAGTTGCTACTTTCTGCTTATCCAGAATGGGCTCAATGAAGGAGACCCACAAGAGCCTTCCTCCAGAGCCTCACTGCTGCCTTCTCAGGTTGCCTATGGTCTCCTAGCAGGGGCTGCATTAAAAATATTTAGCAACTGGTGTGGCTGAGGCCCTGACCAATCAGAACAGACACTGTTTGGAGGGAGCTGCGCCTAGGAGGCTCCCTGGAAGGCCAGGCATTAATCTTTTAGTTGCTAAATTGGCAGGAGGTTCTGGGGTAGGGGCCCTCCCTTTAGGGCTTTAGGAGAAGTCATTCCAGGGTTTCCCAAGCGATGGCTATTTGTTAGCTGGTAGAAAGCAATTAAAAAAAAAACCAAAACCAGAATAGTCATTACTGGTACACACTGATTATGCATCAGTCCTAATGATCTGAGAGTGAAACTGCAGTTCCATGCAGACTCCCCTCTCTGACCTAACTGCAGGGCACGTGAGCTGTTCCCTGCCCTATAAAAAGCAAAGAAAGGCAGCGGAGGGAGTTGGCTTTGTGGGCCACACAGTTGGTCTTGGTGTCCCTCCCCTCCTGTCGCCTTCCTGTGGCTGGTCAGGCCTGGTCCTAGGGGCTCTATAGGTGGCCTGGCTTCCCTGCTCACTTCCCTCTGGATTTCTGAAGAGGGAGGAGCTCCCTTCAGGGCCTGATGGCTGGTTGTGCCACCTCTCCTCTGGATACCTCTGTGCATCCCTGCCCGGCAAGAAGCAAATAACTCTTGTTTGCTCACTTTGTCAGGCCGTGTTTAATCCTTGTTATGACTGTTAGATTTCTACATTATCTCCAACTGTGTGGCAGCAGCCGCGCCTTGAAGTTGCTCTGTAGTGCTCTGGACTCTCCCTTTTCAGCTCCTTCTGGCCCCTCCCACCTGCAGGGCACAGATGCCTACAAGTGGCTTTCGTCTTCCTTCCTGATAGTTGTGGATTGTGGCAAGCAACTAACTGCTCACACCTGGAGTCAGAACAGCCGCAGGCAGGAAGGATGATGCTTGGGACCCCCAGAGATTTGGTGCAGGCAGAGGACAGGGGATTTTGGAGCATCAGTTACGCACAGGTTTCAACAAGGGCCATAACCTTGGGGCCAGAGGGAAGAAGAACACTGGAATGATTGCAATAGAAGAGGTTCAGGTGTTGCATGGTGGGATAGAGCCACACACGCCACATGTGTGCAGCCTACGCCCACTGCCTGCTATGCAGGGCGATGCATTTTGGCGTGTGGGTGTGTTGACTGCGCTTTACAGTTGGAGAGGATGGGGAGTTAGGAGAACAGAGATGCTGTCTTCTTAGAGGAACCCATAAGGCTAGACCTGTGGCCTGGAGCAGGCTGAGGGAGGGAGGCACACTTTGTCAGAGCCTTTCTAGTTCCCCAGAGAAAGCTGTTACCCTCCTGAGACATCTCAGGAAGGAAGTGATGATATTTATTATGCTGATTGCTTTTGTGACTTTTACCTTTGTCCCTTGGAAGGCAAATTGCTTCACCAGACCTACCATTTCCGGATAAACCACATAGGGCTGGGTGCTTCCCTGTCAATAGCAGGGTGCTAGGCCCCCACCAGTCAGCACTCAAAACTAATGTCAGCAGCTGCTCTGGAGGGTTAAAATGTCAAGAGAGAAGGGCGGCATGGAAGGCTGAGGGGAACGTGTGCCTGTGGAAGGGGAAAGAAAGAGAGAGGAGGCAGCCAGCTCTGATCTGCAGCTTTGGCTTTTGATGCAGATGGAGTGTTTGCAGGGCACCTGAGTGTTCAGGTTTATTTTTGCATAGCCTGCAGCCTCACTTCCTCTTCTGAGTCCCCTGTGTGCAGCTCCAGCCACCTGGCTGTTCCACTAGCCTTGCCAGCCCCTGGGATGGATCAGGCAGCATCTAACAGATTCTCCTTCTTTGAAAAGGACCAGTAATGTGCAGTGGGGCTTCACAGCCTCAGCCTAAGCAGAAGCGAAAACCAAGCCGGCCATTTCCCAGGCTGAGGCTGGTCTTAGGTAAAGCTGTAAACAATTGTTTCCCTTTCTTCCCTCATTACCTGCTCCAATCTTTCCCCCTCAAACTATACTCTTGGTTTCTGCACACAAAACTGGAGACCGTCACTCGTGTTGATAACATATGGATACATCTTGAGGCTCAGTTTGTTATCTTTGCAGTGCTATAGTATGTGTCTTTTCAGAGGAAAGAATAAGCTCCTCTGGAATATTAAGTGCTTGCAAACAGGGCTGGAGAAGTAGGTGGAGGTGAAGATGTTCCCAAGATCATACAGTTTAGGAAGCATCTGCAGGGCAGCCCTGTTGGCAGACCTGTGGGGTTGGCTGCCAGTGAACTTGACAGTCAGGCTTAGGAGCAAGGTGGGAAAATCTGTGCTTTCCTACCGTGTGCTTGTGTGATGCATCACATAACGGCAAGGTGCACCATGTGTCCGTGATGAATGGAACCTGTGCTAAGTAGTGCTGGAGGATTAAGGGAGGTTGGACCAAAAGAATACAGTCTTTATGGGGCGCTTTGGATTAGGAATGGAGCTCCCAGGATGGACACATAATGTCAGTAGGTGGAGTTGAGTTGGTGGGAGCCATCCAGCACACAAAAATGTGGCATGCTAACAGTGCCTGCATGTAGTTTCTGTGTAGGACAGGCAAGAGATTGCTTCTCAGGGATAAGTGGTCTGTGCTGAGCTACTCTGCAGTGTCTACCTGGCCCTCTTGAGATGGAGAGAATTCCCTTTTCCCTTGAGGACTGTGGGAAACCATGGAAGAACCTTTAGCAGGGAAGTAATTAGTGTCTTTTAGGAAAGTGTTTCCTAGAAACGTGCATGATGGGTTGGAGGGGAAAGATTAGAAGAGAACATGGAAAGGGAACCATTGGGGCAGTGAAGTTGCTTGGTTGCTCATCCAAACCTCCTAGTCCCCTCCACATATTTCACACCTTTCTAGTCCTAGGAGATATGAGGATGAATGAAACCCAGTGCCTGAATCCTACTTGGTCAGTCTCTAACAGGGACATAGGCCACACTTGTAGCACTGGAAATAAGAAGGAAGACACAGACTTTGAAAGAGATTTTACAGAAATACTTAATGGGTAGATAGCTGCTTGAAAATGGAAATGAAAGGGAGGGAATGTAGTCAAAACCCAATCTTAACTGTAAGGTATAGGGCTGGGATAGAGTGTGGTTGGAACTTGGGGCCTGGGGCTGGAGAATTAGATTTTGGTGGCAAGCTGCTGAAGAATTCAGTTTTAAACCCACTGAAATATCCTGATCCATCAAAGTGGAGATGACAGAGAAGGCAACAAAAGTAATGAAAGTAGAATCTCAGTGAGAAGTCAGATTTAGTCTGTAGCTATGAAAGTTGTTGTATTAAGCTATTTTCTGTCACTATAATAAAGTGCTGGAGACTGGTAACTTTATAAAGCAGAGAGGTTTTATTTGGCTCATAGTTTCAGAGGCTGAAAATTTTAGATTGGGCCCCATCAACTTGGCCTCCAGTGCAGGCTCCTTCGGCTGCACACAGTCATGGTGGAGGGCCTTATGATGAAAGTATGAGAGAGCAGTGACAGGAAGCCAGAGAGTGGTGAGCAAAGGACTACATGCATTCCTTCTGAGAGCTGTACCCCGAAAGAGCCAATTCCTTTGCATGAGGCCCCACCTCTTAAAAGTTCCCCCACATTATCACACTGAGGACCAAGCTTCCAATTTATGAACCTGTGGAGGACAAACCACATCCAAATGGTAGCAGGCAGGCAGTGATTGTTCTTGAGGCAATAGTTGCAGCTGTGTGGAAGGATCAGCCAAGTTGGTAAAGGATGGAGGAGACATGAGATTTGAGGGTAGAGGGTGAATGAAGGTAGAGGAACCCATGAAAAAGATTCAATGTCTGAGATGGCTGGTGTGGAGGGTGAGGAGGTGGATGGGATGAGCCCTGCAGAAGATGAGGGCGGAGAAAGCTTCTGGTAAAAACGTAGTGATGGATTAGGGGAGGAAACACATAAATGAGTTAAATAGTACAATGTGAGACCTCTGAATTAAGTTCAGGAAATGCTTCCTTTGGGTTAGAAGAAGAAAGGCACACACTGATGGACTGCTCAGAGATGGGCTCTGCCCCGGCCAGATATGGATCTAAATGCTACCTGCTCCTGGGTCATCTTGACAGTTATCCACTCAAAGCTTCAGTGTTCTCATTATTAAAGGGGGGTGGTGGCGTAACAATACTACCGAAAGAGTTGTTACTGTGGGTACTGAGTGGACTAAGTGACACAAGGCATAGAAAACTTTAAGCTCGGTGCCTGCGACATAGTAACTGTGCTCCCCCCAAAGTTTTATATACCATCATAAAAAATAATTGTAATGAACCAGTTTACACCAGCTCCAGGTCCCTGCCCAGGAGCCATCCATGGGGAACCAGCCCACTCTAGTCTTTCCGCACCCAAGTGCCACTTGTAGGGACCTAGTCTTGCTTGTTTGTCACCATGACTTGGGGGTGAATGAGGATGAAGGATAGACACGGAGTCAGTTTAACATGCAGGCAACCAGTGAGCTCTTGCCCCTAGAGGAGCCCTAAACATCTGGCTCCTCCTGCTTTTATTCCCTCAAACACGGGTACGAGCGATTAAAGTAACACATGATTCATCTTCCCTGCATTATCCATTGTACATGCCCAGGTAAACAACCTGATCTCAGCTCTATTGAATTTTCCCTAGAACCTGAACATGCCATCCTCCCTGCATGTTGCCAAATGAACACAGCCTGCTGCCTTTCTCCTTTGAGCTCACAGAGGAGGCCAATTAGGCCACAGTTCTCCGTAACTGGTCTCCCGCAAATAACAAGTTGTATGATTGGGTGCATAACTTTTTTGGATTCACAAGTGAGAGACTGCAGAAAGCCATGAAATGGATTTCTGGAGAAGTCTTTTTTTTTGAACTGAGAATATACTCCCTTCCCCAGTAATGACGGTGGTTTGGGAGCAGGAAAAGAGGCTATTTTTAGGGAATACTTTCATGATAAAAATTATGATGATTCTCCAAAGATCATAATTGTTTTTATTACATTGCATTTGCTTAGAACAGTTTTTGCTTTCAAAACATTTGCTATCTTTCTGTTAGATTTAATGAGGCTTCCACAGAGTGTGGAGATTTACATTAAATGCTGGAGAAGAAACAAGAGAAAGGATGCACCCAATGGGCCCTGGAAAGTTGAAGGTCTGGATTTGGGGAGAGAGCGAGTGAAGGGGAAGGAGCAACGGATGAAAGCAACATAGGAACACCTGTTAATTTGAACTACCTTGATCCTGCCCCTAGAGAACTCTTGAGGGAGCCTCTCTAGCCAAACTTGTTCTAAGTCACACAGAAGCAAAATAAGGCGAGACCTCTGCTCACCAGAACTGCTCCCTGCTGTGCCTCAGAGCATGTCCGCCAGCTCTGTTAGTCCCCAGAGCCGCCTGGCGTCCTGACATAGTAGAGCAGCTTATCTTTTCGTTGGGTGTGAGTTTAACAGTTTTCCTGGAAGGGCATTCTTGTAGCAGCTTAGAAGTCACAAGGAGAGAGAGAAGTCTTGAATGTTTTTAGGCCATCTGAAGACCAGGAGATCTCTGTCCCAGTTGCCAGCAGCCACAGTGACCACATGACCTGCCAGAGAGTGAGAATGGCCAAGTCAGTTGAAAGGAAAAATAGAAAGACTTGGCCAGCTTCGTTACCTGATTAAACAGGCTCAGTTAGTGGCCGTCACTGCACTGCTTCCTCCACTGAGCCCGGTCAGTGAGGGCAGTATCTTTTTGTTGCCAAGAGATGCGGGAAAGCCATTATGGAAGCCTAAGGCCTGGCACCCCACCTTCCCACATACGTGCGCTTTCCCTTAGGGAAGTATGGGGTGGCTCTGGCCAAGCACTGCTCTGAGCTTATCTGTTTTCTCTTGCAGTACATCTTTGCAGATGCATATGCCCAGTACCTCTGGATCACATTTGACTTTTGCAACACCATTCATGGCTTTTCCATCCCGTTCCGGGCTGCTGATCTCCTCCTCCATAGTAAAGCCTCCAACCTTCTTCTGGGCTTTGACAGATCTCATCCCAACAAGCAGGTAAGAGAGCTTCTGGAGCACGGTCGTGTGCGGTTCCTGTGATTCCACCGGGCCTGGGTGCACTGTGTGTCCTTTGAGTGACCTTGCCTCCTGCTTTTCCCTCCCTCCTCTCAGGCTTAGCCTTTGTAGCTACTATTTCACTTACCACAGCAAAAGAAAAGTATATCCCCCTGGCCCTCTGTGTCTGTGTCCCAACCAGCATGCAGTCCCTAGCACTTGGCAGGCCCCGTGAGTTTAACGCTATGCCTTCCCCAGGCAGATGCACCTTTGTTAGTTTGTAGGCTACATCAAGGCCTCGGGGTTTAATGAGAGAGCCACATGGAGCATTCTAGTCTGGAGCTCTTCTGTGACCTCTTGTTTGTAAACATTTTTTTTATTTAATGGTGCTAGGGATAGAATCCTGGGCCTTAGGTATGCTAGGCAAGTGCTCTACTATTGAGCTACCCCTGCAGCCCCTACCTGAAACATTTTTGCCTGCCATTTGTTTGAAGTTACCATTAGTTCTGACAGTCTTCCTTTGTGTGAGTGTGGATGCATGTGTGTATAATAGAAATGCATTCATTTTTCTCCTTGAGTTCAGGTGTGAAGGAAAGTTGAGAAGTGAAAGGAGAGCTTGAGTAAGATTTATATCTTAGGGTTGAAACTTGCCGTATCAAGAGTATTGGTCGGGCATAAACCTAAGAAACCTGTAGATCTTGTATGATTGGATTAACAATGAGTCCTGAATGTTTTTGTTGAGAAGAGCCTTGGAACTTTTCTTTTGCTTCATGGGTTATTTAACTAAAACACAGATCTGTTTACCTTTGCTTGCCTTGGGGAGTAACCTAAGCTTATATGGGCTGGGTCAGTTTACCAGTGGAGGTACATTATTGTTATTTTTGGTCTCATGCTTCTTAATACATGTTTGTCAGGGCCAGAGGAACCCTTGGGTCTCCTCTGTGGAGGGTGAGGGACTTTGGCAAAGATTAGCAAGTTAATTACTTATGACAAGTCTGTACATTCAGTTTATCCCTCTTGGTATTCTGTACTTAGCCAGTGTCCTTAGTGTCCTCTGTAGACAGCTTTAATGACCAAAGCTCATTATAATTTTTATTTTTATTTTGGTGCTAGGAATTAAGTACAGGGACTCACACATGCTAGGCAAGTGCTTTACCACCAACCTATACCCCCGCCCCCAGTTTTTATTTTTCTTCCTTACTTTTTATTGTGGTGAAATACATATACAGTAAAATTTATTGTCTTAATCTATTTTCAAGTGTACAGTTCAATGGCTCACATTCATATTGTGGTGCAACATTACCTCCCAAACTCTTTTCATCTTGGAGAACCAAAGCTCTGTGTCCATTAATTACTTACCTGCCCATTCTACCTTCCTTCAGACCCTGTTAACTACCATTTGACATTCTGTCTATAATTTTGACTACTCTAGGTACCTCAAGTGGAATCACACACAATTAGTCTGTTTGTGACTGGCTTGTTCCACTTGGCATAACGCCTTCAAGGTTCATGCACACAATAGTGTGTGTCAGAGTGTCCTTCCTTAAGGCTGAATGACAGTCCCATTGTGTGTATAGATCACATTTTACTTGTTCATTTACCCTGTAATGGGCACTTTGATTGCTTCCACAGTTTGGGTATTGTGAATAATGCTGCTGTCCATTCCAAATTTTTAAGGACTCTGTTTCCCAGTTACTCAAGAGTAACTCCCAGGTAGTGGGGCTACTGTTGAGTAAAATATCACTTCTGATAATGCAGAAGTGGAGGGCAAGCCAGGCATTTTTCCTTCCGGTTTCTGCTGAAAGCCTTATGACTAAAGTGAAATGCAAGGGTGCAGTCCTGTGTGCTGCCCATGTTTCCCACGTGCTGTGGGATCCCGTGGCTTTGGTGATCCGGGTGCCTGTCTTCACAGACAGTGTGCTGTGGAGGACAGGGTCACAATGGGTTTGGGCAGTGATGCCTTTCAGATTGTACACAGTTCTCACATCGTGGCCCTCTTCTTGTTGTCTTGGTCTTTGCAGTTATGGAAGTCTGATGATTTTGGCCAGACCTGGATCATGATTCAGGAGCATGTGAAGTCCTTTTCTTGGTAAGTTGTATTGTCTAGGAAATCTTGATTTATATAAGCCCCTCTCTCCAGTTCTAGCTCTTTTGTGGGAGACAGATCTTTAGTCTTAACCTGAAATATGTGGCATTTGCTCAGAAAATAAATTTTCCAGACCTGAGAATTAGAGCTCCAAGTATAACGCATTCACTAGGGGCAATGAGAAAAGATTATTTATAAGAGGAGTTATAGTGCTTTTGCATTTTTCCCTCCATCAGGGAACCCAGGGGAATCTTGGCTCTGATATGTAATAGAGTTATTAAAGACCTTTATTTTTAGAGCATCATAATGGAGGTTTCTCTATATAAAACTCAGGCATTGATTCATTCATAACATTTTTTTCAGTGTCTCCTGTTAAGTATAAAATCTCCAAGATACTTTAGGGTATAAGAAGTTGAATAATTTATGGATATAGTTATTAAGGAAAATGCAGTTCAGAGGTAAGGAAAGGCATTTCGTGTTCACAACACACTCCGTGCAACAAGCACAGCACCAACAGACAAGATGGGAGGCCGGAGGAGGAACTCTGTCTTCCTGATGGGATGTTTCAGGACAGCAGGTAGGAGGCAGTATGTGTAGGTGGAGAGCAGAAGTTCCAGACAAGGATGCCCTTTAGAAAGGGAGGCTGGTATCAGAATCCGCAGTGCTTGAAAAAAGATCTTGAACCAAATTCTAAAAGTAGTGGGAGGCCATTGCAGGTCTTTTGTAGAGATGTGAAGAAGTACAGTTACTCCTAGTCATGGTCGCTTCTGACCTTGCCCCGTGACGGTGGCACTGTGTATGAGCTTGAGCACATGTGTTTGCATGTGTACAGGACATGCTTGGTGCAGATGTCTAGGAGTGAGATAGAGGTTATTGGATTATCTAACTGCTCAGGAACCCATTCACATGTATAAACTAATAGACCCCACAGATTTGATGCTGCCCAAGTTGACTTTTGATCCTCATGTCCCAGACCAGTTCCCTGCATTACCTTCCCTGTTTCAGTTTCTGTGATTAGGCCAAGAACTTTTGAGTTATAGTTGATTCTACATTTGCTTCAAGCTTCACACTCAATCTATCAGGAGATGTGTTGGCTCTACCTGTAGTATGTATCCACACTTCACCACTCACTACTGCTTTCCTCATGTTGCTTACTCATTTCCCAAGTGGTTTTTCCGCTTTCACGCCCATCCTTCTGCAATCAGTTCTCAGCGCATGGACAGATCTTTCCTGTTAAGAACAGGCCAGGCCTTATTTTTGTTCTCCTTAGAACCTTTCAAAGCATCTTCGTGTTTCTTAGATGAAATATCAAGTATCCTTTTCCACAGGACCCTGGGCCTTTGCACTTGCTCTTTTCTCTGCCTAAATTGCTTTTATCAGTATAATGTACTGCTTGTTCCCTTAGCTCATTAAATCCTGCTCACATAGCTCCTTCTAAATGTGGTCTACCCAAATGATTGTACTTATTTGTTTACTTAAAATAAGTTGTATAGTGTACATTCAAGCTATACAGTATGATGTAAATTATATATGTAATTAATAATGTTAATATAGCGAAACTATATATAGTATATAGGGTATATACTAATGTTAGTATAGCATAATGTCTTCTAGGCCTATACGTGTTGTTGCAAATGTCTCCTCTTTTTTAAGGTTTGAATATATTTCATTACACCTATATACCAGGGTTTCTTTGTC